AGGATGGCCTGAGACAGACAGATTTCTTTACTCAAAGCCATTTTAAATCATTTATCTGAAAAAGTAGTTGTAAACAGTTTAGATATTTCTGAATGAGTTTGGTGCCACGAATGACATCCATATGAAAGTCTCAATCTGATGAGGCTATTTAAGCACATCACTTTGAATTCTTACGTTAATGCTTTGGTTTTATAGCAACATGGCACAGTCTATACTAGGTTCAATCTCCTTATCTCTGATGCTAAATTTGTTATAGCTGATCGAAGTGTTTAGTATTTACTTATTCCAAATCCTGAATTTTTATGATGGATTCTGGGTATGTGCCATCACTGCTTTCATTCCGAAATGCGATTTTCTGGATTTGTTCTGGATGTGGTATAGAATGTTTAAATGATCAGTACTCATCTCTTCACATCTGTGCTTATATATGTCTAGAAAAAGATTAAATAGATTGTGTCTCATTTCCTTCTTGTCATAATGATGAGATTTAAAATATTTCAGCATTGGGGTCTTCACCAGACATGCACAACTTTGTGGACTGATATAGTTCCTCTGTCAGATCTAGACATTCAGTGGAGTCAGAGGTTGGAAGATTTTTTAATGGATGAGAAAAGCAAATCTCTATTGATGTGATTATATGCTTCTGTGAGACCAACATAGCAGGTATACAATTTTCTATTGGAGACATATGCAATTTCCTGAAGTTGTTTGATGACATATATGCCATCATTACACATTTTAGCAGAATGAAAGTTAAATTTGGTTGTTAGGAGTTGATTTTCACAAAATGATAACAGCTTAGTCAATACAATGTTCATTAGTATTTTTACCAGAATTGATCCAGTTGAAATACCTCTGTACACATGAGGGTCTTGAGGACTACCTTTTTGTTTCCATAGTCCATTAATGCATTGGGATGCATTTCTGATTCCAGAATTCCTTCATGAAATTGGGAAACTTGTTTTTAATTCTGAACAAGGGTATGCAAAACTTCAGCCTTAATGTCAAATGACCCTTCTTTAGTTTTTTAGTCGCTCATTAAGAAACAGAACACCTTCATTACAAGTAAGAACTCTTCATTTTTTTTTCCATTGTAACATATTTTGCAAAAAAATGTTGGTGCTTCACCAGAACAGTATACTCATGATCTTTTGCTTGTATGGCAATAATGTTGACCCACAACTGAGTAAGTGTATTTTTTTTCTAATTTAAGATAAAGCATTTTTTCTTTATATATCAGTTGATTAATTTTTAAATAAGTCAATTTTCTTTTAATAAAATTTCTATGTTGATTGCTTTATTTTGGGAAGATTTTAAAAATTAGATCCATTCTTTATTGTATGGTCATCCATCATAGCAAATTGAATCTTTTGCTGATAGAAAAAAATTAAAAGCAAAAACAATACTGGTATCGAAGTATTCTGGAGAAATGCCAAACTTTTTTTATAATGATTCAGCAAGGCTTACATTTGTTTCCTCTAAAAACATTTTAAAAAACTTTCAAAAAATTCAAAGCATCTTCCACACCTTATAACGTTTCATATTCTTATATAAAATTTGTTCCTATTTGTTAAACTTCAACTGCATTAATTTTTTACTCTTAACTGTAATTCCTACATAAAACACTCCTGCTTAAAATGTAAAGTAGGATAGAACCCCCTTCATTCAAATGTGTTCAGTCAAGATTACTTGAGATAAATGAAAAGGCTTAATATTTTCCATGTAATACACATACTTTGAATCTAGTTTTGTTGAATAGTGCACAGTCATTGATGTTTTTTTTGTTACATTCTTTGGAGTAGTTAATCATTTATATACATTATTTTATGCCTTGATTTTATGTTGACAATACTATTAGCTTATTTCTGTGAAAGCACAGTGCGATACAAAATGGTTATAATGAATAAATGCTGTTAAACTATTGTGCTATCATCTTAAAAACAGTGAAAATGCTTTTACCAGCCAGCGAAAAAAGTCTTTGGATAAGAAATGGCACAACAGCAACTGTAGCAACATTCCCTCTCTATACCCGCAACCCCCATCTAGAAATGTCTGTCTGTGTCCCCACTTGCATGCACATCCATTGACATACTACGCTACTCCCTCCCTCATCTTTTTTATGGTATGTCCTTCACAATAACTTTCAAATAGTATGGTATTGTTCACAAATTTAATAATCAAACAAAAAAAGGGATGATGCATCAGAGATTGATTTAACTGCAAATGCATGAATGCTCCCCCCCTCCTTCACACATTTACTGTAAAGCAGGAGTTAATAAGAGGTTCTTTGGGAATTTTTCCCTTTTAATGTTTCAATAGTCCTTCACAAACAATCTTTGCATCAAAGATTGTTCAAATGCCAATTTAGGATGGAATCATATGAAGAAACTATTGGCTAAATGGCAAAAGCCAATTTTGGACCTAGTTTGTTGCAGATTTCATCCACTTAATTCAAATAATCTAAACCAAACATTCACGCAAAGCAGTTTGTGTGTCATATGTAATTTACATGGAAAATTTGGAAAGCATCAGATGAAAAACCAGGGAGTTATGGCCAAAAAACAGGATTTTTTAACAGTTTTTCATAATTTTTCTTATTTCTTGCACAATGGCAAATTTTTTGCAACATGGTTGAAGAAAATCTGATAAAAAAATGAAGTTATTAAAGTTTTTATTTTAAGTAGTACAAAAAACCCAATTTTTTTCAGTTTTTTGCAATTCTTTTTGTGTGAAGCCAATGTCACAGGAAAACTATCAAGCACTCTACATAAACCTCATAAACATGAGCTGATGTTTTGCATTAAGTGCAAAGAACATCACCTCATCCAGTAAAAATTTTGTTTGCATGTAGCTTTGCCTTGGTTTGTGCAAAAAGTCATACCCACCTTCAGTTTTATCAATTTTTCTGCCGAACCCAGGGGGCCTGAAGATTGATAAGTTGGTTTTGACACAACTTGGTAAATTTGCAACATGTGTGTACAATTTCATCAGAATTGGTTGAGAAATGTGGAGGTGCATAAATAGCATAGACACACACAGTTTTATAAAGATAAAGAACATGAGTCCTGTAATGAAGTTCAAATACCTTAAGAACATCTTTATCAAGACTTCTTCATCTTTTTCTTGACCAGCATTTGTTAATTAGAATGAAAAGGATGACAGTTCCTTGACTGGGATAAAATAATGAATTCATTTCCTCTTGCTAAGCCTAAAAATATATATATATAAATTTTTTTTCTATTTCTCTGCCATATTGTTGCATACATTACTATATGGGTGATATTTGATAAGTTCAGCACTTACCATATATACACATACACACACAAGCACAGTACAAGTTTTTATAATAATTTTTTTATGCAAAAAAATAGGTGGTGGTTGCACTATATACAGTTAAATTTTTTTTGGAAGAGGTTAAAAATCATGCATTTTTTTGCAGTAATAGGTAATTTCTTTCTGGAGAGGTTAAAATTCATGCAAAAAAAATTCAGGGGTTGCACTATACATGAAGTTATCTTATACTCTAGTATATTCAGTATGCTATCTTCTCCTGCACTTATGTTAATGTTTTATGAAAATCATCAATGCACCTCCAGATATTGAATGTAGCCATGACAAGTTCAGTTATCTTGCTGGCCATCATAGAGAAAGTTTTTTTTAAAGGAGGAATTGAATTTTGTGAGCAAAGATGTTGGAATGTCACTTATAGGCATGGAAAAGGAAGTCTTCATGAGTATTTCTTAGAAAAAACACAGGAGTTGATCCATGCTACTGAAGCCATTCAGGAATAATTATAACTAGCAGATACTGGTCCAAGGTCAGCAAAGAAAAGCAGATTTAACTTATGTAAATAGAGAAATTTTTATAAAGAAATTGAAAGAGGTATATTTGAACTTCTACATTATTTGGCTTTTTAAAAAAAAAAATGTCATGATGATGTTAAAAATTGCTACAAAAAATTATCTGTTAATTTATTTAAGATAAAATGATCCATTATGACATGTTGCTGATACATGAAATTTTCTTGTTGAATTTTTCACATATGTAAGATAGTATGATTATTCACATTGGAGTTTGATAGGGTGTAACAAACAGGATAATAGAATAATTATAAAAATGATTTTATTTTTACTATAGGTTTCGATAATTCAACTGCACAAATAGAATATTTGTTCAAAATTATTTTTAACTTAACTTTTTAATTTAAATTGATGTTTAAAATATGATATCTAAAAAGTATCACCTTTATTACAAACTCCCTTTAAAATTTCTCTGCCTCAAAGTGTTAGAAATCAAAAGGAGAAATAATCCATTTTTATATAATTTGCTAAACTTTGAAAAATAAAAGTGGTCAAAAATATAAATTTATTTTTTGGAAGTGATGAAGAAGACACGCCTATACAGCAATGTTTTCTTTTTTATTTTACTCCATTGGTAATGTTTACTTTTATTTTTATTCGAAATGTTTCACAATATTTCTTATATAATATTATAGTGATGATTATTGTACATAATTAGGTTTCAATAGAATTTGCATTTCATATGAATTCTACTTTATGAAAATTGCTGTGTCATAGAGTGAGGGCCCTATGCAATAGATTGGAGTGGGGGGTGTACGTGTGTCCCAAGTTCCAACTGCCCACTAGGCATGTAATACTATGTTTTAACCATGCATTTTTCTCACATGAATGTTACACATTTACATTTATTATAATTGATAGGTGATCCATTGCTATGCCAAAATAGTTGTTTTAATTTGCTTATTTAATTGTTATAATTTTTGTTTATTCACTAGTTTTTCAACACACATAATCTCATTTATTTTGTACTGCTGCTCTGGTTACTTTAATACACTTACTAATTTCATTAAAATAATTTTAACAACAGTTTTAATTTCAGTTCTTATAGCTGTGGTATAGAATGCTAGCATTAATACTACTGTTGTCAAGAAAAACTGTTTATCACTTGTACTAATACATATACACATCATTTCTTTTCAGGAAGATTTTGAGAAATATGGTGTGAGTATTAAAGTAAAATTCCGTGATAGTGAACAAATGCAAGAGTTATCTCAGAATATTCAAAGTGGAGGAGAGCGCAGTATATCCACTGTCCTTTACCTAATGGCCATTCAGGACTTAGCTACTGCACCTTTTCGCTGTGTGGATGAAATTAATCAGGTTGGTTGCATTTTGACTCGCTTTTCTCTCAAGTTTGTCAATTTTGTTTTCTGAACTTAAATAAGATTTTACTTTTCCATTCCTGATGCTATCTATTTGATCTCATAAGGTCTTCCAAATGCTTACTATGAAGTCTACTAGGTTACAATTATTCTACTTATTGAATTATGTCAGTCTTGTAACCTAGGGAAGGTTACTGAACAGAATAATCACACAGGTTGGTAATGAACGATAATACTTAGGACAAGAACAATACATATAAGATTCACCAGCAGTGTGTAGAAGTAGTAGGCAACTGCTATAAGTAAGTCAAGTGAATTCCACAATGAATCTCCAACTGCAGATCACAAACTACTGTATTTATGGTAATGGGGGCATACCCATTATTATCTGTAGGTATGCTACTACAGTCAGTCTGATATTAGAATGAGTATGAGAATAATTTCACAAAAAAGTATATTTATAAATTATTACAAAACCAAAAAATAGTGATGAGGAAAATTCTGTGAGCCCCTATTTTCATGCTAATGAGCAATTGCAGCCAGAATATACCTTTCTTTCTACTGCAAAAAAAAAAAATCAAAATTTTATTTCTCACCCATCCTTCTTTCTCTCTTTTTTTTTTTTTTTTTTTAAAGAGCATTATAAATTATGACATTGGGATTTATATATTTTAGGGAATGGATCCTATAAATGAGAGGAGAGTGTTTAAGATTGTAGTAGATGCTGTTTGTAAGAAAAGGACGTCACAGTATTTTCTGTTAACACCTAAGGTAAGTCAATATGTTATATGAAAAGTAAATATTACACGTTTAATTCTTCAAAAGTATTTGAATGTTATACACCTCAAAAATACCCATCTTGAGTAAACCAAACTTTTTTTTTCCTCAAAAAGGCAAATTAGATTCAGTTGATATACAAATAACAGCTATTGTATTCATAAAAACATGATCCCAGTAATCACACTCACATTAGGGCTTTTCCACCTGCTGTCCCAAACCTATATTTTCCAGTTATGTTAATACAACACAAAGAGCAGTACTTCTTTCATGATTATCAATTATATTATTATTTTTTCAGTCAATGAATCCTTCTCTTTTAACAAAATGAGTATTAACAGAATATTTCAGAGCAGAATGTTTACAAACAAATGAGCAAACTGACCAGATTGATGATGAATATAATATCTGGTTTATTTTGTATTGTTTACCATTGCCATTTTATGCTGAAGAAACGTTTTTGTGAACAATATTTTGCTGGTTTGCTACTACTGTGCATTAAGTTTTGTCAAATGACCATTGTGATGTTGACAGACACTGGGTCCACAAGCAAAAATCCAATAAGCCACATCATCAGCAAAGAAATCAAATTACAATCTTGAATCTTTTGCTTTATTTATATTATCTTTTACATACTGAATCACTTTTTTGCACTTCCTTACCATTTAGTTGATTTTCATTAGTAAATTATTTCTGCTTCAAGCTGTCTTGTAGAACAACTGTCATTAACATATACAGTGAAAATATCCAGTAAATTGATGGACAAAGTCAGTTTAGCCATACCTATGATGCCTCATAGTTTTCTGAACTGAAGTGAATATGTGAAAAAAATCTGTTAGCTTCTTTGCCATGGAATTCAAAGCATTTTTGTCTTTTTTGTTCTTGTCAGTTTCCTCATTAACTTGAATATATTTAATCTTTAGGTTCAAGAAATAATATAATTTATATGTGCTAAAGATTCAGTTAACATATGTAAACAGTTTTCCTGAAAATATCAAATCTGACCACATTGTTCCTATGGAAGGAGAATAATGAATACACACATATATGTGCGCACACACACACACACACACACACACACACGTGCAAACACTTTACATTATTTTAATTTTTTTTCTTTGTGGGGTTCTATTTTTGTGTCTATCTTTATGTAAGTAACAGGTCTTTTTTAGTCCATAACATCAGATTCTTCTTTTATGTTCCATGTCTGTTCAGAACATGAATAATCATGGCTCTTCACGACGTCCTGTCTCTTGTTGCTCTCTGTAATCTTTGACTTTTTACCATATTCTTGTTTTGTCCTTTTTTTTTCTGCATTTATCTATTTTTAAAATAAATTCAAGATAACATTTTGGACAAAATACAATTATATTTTATTTCGTTAGCTCAAATTGTCATTGCTTCCGTTATATAAACTTGGATGCATTTTTAGTTGTTTAAATTTTACTCATTCTCATTTGTCCATAAAAATTAAAGTAGAACTGTTAATAGTTATTTATAAAGTATTACTACAAATATCACTAAAATACTTAAAAATACGTTTTGAATAATTTAAATGTCCCCTTTGAAGTTAAATTTTGTTTTTATTTGAAAGTTAACAGCATGAGGCTAATATGTAATGTTAACAACCAAAAATGGTATTAAACTTCACATTTTTCAATTTTTAAAACATATCTTCATTTAATAAAAAAAATCTCTTATTGCTACAAAAAATTACAATTACAGAAAATATTCAATGTAGATTTTATTGTGTCACATGTGAAAATATTTTTAATTATGTAAGTAAAAGTTAATTTAACCTAGATATCTGAAGGTTCCCTTAGGTGTCAACAGCAAAACACCATTGGGAGTAAATCTCAGCTGGAAACAGCTCTTTGCAACAGGGAAATCATTTTATTCATTTCCATCAATAAGACAAAGGAAAGAAGACACTCTCAGTGATTTTGAGTATTTAAACAACTCTAGCAGTTGTGATGAAGGAAAACCATCTCAAGTGACCTTCAGTTATGAGTGCCAAGGCCAATGGTTTGCAGTATATTGTAACTCCAACTAGGTAAAGTCATTTATTTTGCATCTCCATACAGTGCAGTGATAAAGTTTTCACTCTAACAAAGAGCAGAAATTATTGTTTCTGATGGCCTTTGTCAGATGATATTGCACAAATATAATCAACATTTGTCTTCTGATGGGACTTTGATGTAATGCCAGTTTCATCATTTAATATTGGCTAGATATGGAGTGTTCCAAAAGTATTAATTATATCAAAGGTTTATAAGGAAATTCAGTTGGTAAATCTTCATTAAAAGAGGACGTGCAGGAGAACCATTCACAATGTCCAGAAAGTCTTCCCTATGAAACTGAAAAAGTTTAAAGCACAATTATAAAGGATTTGTTATCCTTTTATAAAACAAATTTCTAAGTTTTGTAACCATTTCTGTTTTTTGACAAGTTGAAAATTACATAATTTCACAATTTTTCCAAATAAGATACATCAAAGGTATCACACACAAGATATTAATGTTGCAATAAAAAGTGCAGTTTTGTTCTCATCCCAAAATGAATAAAGTTTCAGGCATGTACCCCGATTAGATACATTTTTATAGCTAGTACAGTATGGTATATTTTTGACTTGTTTTTCCCTACTATTGTGCTTTTGGCTGTTTTTATGTTTAAATATAAATTCTAGTCATTTAATTTTTGAGCTTTAGAAAAGCACTTCAATTCGTATATCAGTCTTTCTTTTTCTTTCTTTAATACAACCAATAGAAGACAATATTTCTTTTGCCCTTTCCTTTTCACATTTCTTTTTTTTCTTTTTTTTTCTTTTTTGCCTATTCATATTTCCCTCATGGTTCACAATCAGACCTGTCTCTCATGATACTTGTTGGTGTGTAGACAATAAAATTTTAATAGTTTATTTTATTATGCCTCTTTCTTATATTGCAGTTGTTACCAGACCTTGACTATCATGATGCTATGTCAGTTCTCTGTGTGTACAATGGACCTTTGATGCTGCACCACAGTGAATGGGATTTACGAAAATTCCTCAGACGTAGGCGTCGACTTGTTGATTAGTGCCTATTCCTGGTACTATATATCTGTTTTTTTGTCTATTTTTTTTTTTAATCTCTAACTTTTTAATATGGTGATAATAAATGATTTTATTTGAATGAAAAAAAACAAAAAACTTTTAAATTCTTCACCACCATGCTATTAAAAGAATTACAACAACAGATTCTATCATCATCATCATTTTTCACAGAAAGCAAATGTGTGTGTCACATTCCCCACTCTCTTAGCTCCAACCAGCTATGAGTGTTTTAATAACTCTTTGTTTCTGAACTTGAAGGAAACTGATTTTCTGGCTTGATGAAAAAAATTACATTGACAAATTGGGGCTACATTTAAAGAAAGGTTATTCTGTGAATAATATCCACACTGTGTACATTGGAATTGAAGATTGGAAGAAACAGTGCGCTATGCAGTGATTTTGAGTATTAACAAACTCTAAGGGTTGGGGGAGCTTAACATTTATTTTGTCTTTCAGAAGATAAAGCAATGAACATTCGATTGATTATATTCACTTTACAAATGATTTGTTAAATGATGTTAGCTATTTTCAGTTCAAAATAAAACTATTTTTATACTTTCTGACTTTCTATTATATTTGCAAGATATTTTTTTCACATCTCTTCATATCTTCTCAATAAACAAGTAAATGATCTCATAAAAAAGGCAATCTCCAAAATGTTTACATCTGTGTGGATAAAAAATAATTTGGACAAATTGACAGAGATCAATATCATTGCTGTAATTTTATTGAGTGAGTTATACAGCAGTATTCACTACTGTATATTTTGTTTATCATTTTAGTGACTTAGTAACATCTAATGCTGTTAATATCTTTGACAATCCCCTCTGGCCATGCTGCTTTGTTCCTCTTCATCTTGGCTATTGTTGCCCTGACATCAGATTTTAGTAGCCTGAGTCTTTCCATAATTTTATGTACAGTTTCTTTCCTTCATTATCATAGAAATTCTAGATATTCACTATTTTCTGCTCTGCTATTTCTTGATTTTTTTTTTTATACATAACCACTGCATCTGTGTCCCTCAGTTTTTCAATCTTTTCTCATTTTCTATTTAGCACCCCCACCCCTTTTTGTACTTTGATGGTTTTATTTGCCCTTATATTCTCTGAGCCATTATCTGCTAACTGTAGCATGTCTAAATTTATCTCCTTTCAGTTTTTCATTTGCTAACAAACGGTAAAGAAAAGTTACCTCCTCTTCTTCAGGGTTTGATGATGAACCATCAACTGGAGATAAAACATTTTTGATTTCACTAAATTCTTTGTACTTGCATTTTTCCACTGAAAATAGTCTACATTAATTCACACAAATGAACAGACATGAACATTCTATGTTGAATTAACTAATATGTTATGAACAATTAAACTTTCAGTGTAGTTGTATCACATCTATTGTAGCATATGTTATGGAGCATTCAATCTGAAACTTTTTTATACTTACATCAGTGTCAAGACAATATGAAACTTGTCAGCACAATTTCCTTGGATGTGAAAGTCGGAGTGGGAAAAATTAAGTTGTACTGAATTTACTAAATCTTATGAAATTTATTTTGGATTCAAATCCCACTGATGCCATTCTCCTAAGCATTTTATAGATTCTGGTTAATATTTTTAAACCAAGCTTTTTTTTTCATCAGGTTCAAATCTGATTAACTAGTCTTCTGTAAATTTTTCCAATTGGCATTTTTATTCTTTCACCTAGTATTCTAGACTTTCTCAATACCTCAAGTCACTAAACAATGTTTCATGCACTATTATGACTATCAAGGTCACTACCCTGCTAGAACACCACTTTCAAATGATGGGTTATTCCAGGAATATTAGCTACAGCAGATGCTTATAAACAAATTCAAACAGCAAATCACCATTAGAAGAGAAAATACAGGACGACCACTCCAAATGACCAAAAAGTCTTTTTTATCAATTCCAATAAATGTATTTTTATTCATTTCAGTGTTTTTACTTTGAAAATAAACAAGCTGAAAGCTTTACAACAAGATTGAAGGATTGACCAATGCTTCATTTCAGGAAACAAATTTCTAAGTTTTGCAGTCAGTATTGTCCCTTTTTGATGAATCAAAAATTACATCATTTTACAAAATCCAAAAATAGTAAAATTTAAAAGTTTTAAGTATCTACCTCCCAACGGTTACAGTTTTTATAGCATGTTCAGGATGGTGTAATTTTGAGCTGTTTTTGCCCTACTGTCAAATTGCACTTCTGGCTGTTTTTAGATTGTGTAAATATGAGTTTTTTATTTATGTACCAGTGAAGAATCTCTTTTGTGCTGTGAATCATATCAAGAAGCTGCAGGGCATTAACTGTTGAAATGAAACTTATATGAACAGTTATAATTACTCTTCTGTGTAAATTGTAACTATTTCATTCTTCAAAATACAATTTTCCCAAATGTTTAGGATAGTCAGATCTAATAATTATTGATTCTATTAATATTATTTTTCTTGAAGACTACATATGTGAAATTACATTTATAATGATTTTTTACTTGTTTGAAGCTTGCATCTTTTAGTTATACACTGTTAAATTTGGTACTTGCAACAATATCATAGGAGGCAGAAAACTGACAAACTTTGAATGGTCATAATTTATTTAATTATTAAATATTAATTATCATTTTACAAAATCATAATTAGTTATTAAATATTAAGATAATTAATTATTAAATAATTAACTATTAGAGATGCAGGAGATACCGAAGTTGTCTGGTGGCTGGGGTTGAAGCTAATGGCAATTTTATTGGATAAATTTATTCTTTAGTATTTCAAATTTTCATAATGTGTAATTTTGGTAAATATATCTGTTAAAATGAAATGTCAGTGTTATTTTCATTTTTGTGTAATTTAGACAACATTGCACCCTGTATGCTGTAATGGCTGGCCGCTCCAGTCTGGGTATGCATGTCTGCTAGGGCAGCTAGCCAATCACTTTTAATTATTAATTAATTAATATTATCTACTTTTAATTAATTTATTATTAATAGATGGCCCCTCCAGTCCAAGTATGTAAATTTATTATATATAGATAGATAATTATTAAATATTAATAATTATCAATTAGCTAATTGAGCTACCAAGATAAATTTGGTACCAATTTTTATGTTTTGTCAAGCTCTTTGGGTCTATATTAAAGGTTTTTAGATATATTAAAAATAAAAATTTACTTTAGGGTACCTAATTAAACTAACTGAAAGAATGAAATGATTAAAAAAAAGATGCTATGTTTCAATCTGCAAAGTTGTGTTTTCTTTGAGCTGAGGCCCCACAACTTTTAAGAAAACCTAATACCCGATATACAAAAGGAAGTTTTCACATTAGATATTCTGTCTCAACTTATAATAGATTGACTGGTTTACTGAGTAGGGTAAATTACAAGTTGCTGAGGGATTCTTGCTGCAGAGTGACTAGTGTGGATTTTACCAGTAAATGAATCCTGGTGGCTAGTTGGAATAAAAATACCTGTGGCTAAATTACAAGTGGCTGATGAAGGAATGTAGCAGAGTTACTGGTGTGAATTTTACAAGTGAGTGAATCTATACCTGATGCCAGTAGGAATTGGAATTAACTTGAGATATTGATGTGAAAAAGCTTAGATTGTTGGTTAATTGGATTTTACTAGCATACCAGAAGTACTCTGGCATCTGTGTAAGTTATTTTATATTTTTTAGCTATTGGAGAAATGAAAAGAATTTAATAACAATAAATTAAAGGTTTAACTACTAGGAACAGGTGAAATAGGGAGCACTCACCTTTCAACCCCAATTGCTTCTAGAAAAATGACAATTGAGATAAACCAGCTGGATCATGCTAGGTGTAATCTTGGTCAAATTCAGTAAAGGAATGTCCCAGTTTTAACAATACTCCACAATTCTACCTTGATTTTCCATGAGGTCCAGTATATAAGATTAAAAAGTTCAATATGTGACATGAGGAGGAAGTCACAAAACCCTTTCCCCTGATCCAGGTACTGTGCACATAAGCAAGTTAACTTGTGACCAGACACCTGAAAGAAATAGGTTTACCATAAATACAAGAAACCACCACAAAATGAGTCTTTTGAGAGGAGGGGGGGGGGAGTTGTCTACAAATTGTCTGGCCAAAATGTAGTAGAAGGTATAAATAATTTACATCACCAACCTTTTTTGCCACCTACTCCACCACCCTTTGCAAGAAGTATTTCTTCAAATGAAGAAATTTTCTCAGGCTTTTCATTCATCAGCTGAAAGTGGAAGAGTTGTAAATGAAGTTTTAAATTGATCACAACATATTGTGAAAATTCATAAAAAAAAAATGAAGAGAAATATTCACACAAAAATCCAAAGAAAAGTCAGGAGAAATTTCCAAAAGAAAATACTTGTGGGTGCAAAAATATCAAAATGAAAAAATTCAGGAAAAATAATCTGACACATATCTTCTTGCTTCTTGTAAGATGGCAATTTAAGGCAATAGATATTAAAACTGTATAGTCAATAAAAATTATTTAACTCCTTTGGCTACAGTAACTGGTTAAATGAAAGAAAATACTTTTATCAGTGCCTGCAGCAAGGGATTTAAGAAGCAGGGGACATTTGCAGAAAAGGGAAGGGGTTAAATGCTAGAAAATGCTTTCCTTTGTAAAATGTTGATTCAATATTTGATTTATTTGAAATAAAAATTGGATAAATTTGAAATAGAATTAAGCGGTAGCATTGTACTTTTTAAAATTTGATTTAAAGTCAACAAAACATTAAATTTTAAATAAAGTATAAAAATGTTTGGAGATAAGAAAATCTTTTCTAAACTTAAATTTAATTTCAACAGCACGATGTATTTTAAATTATCAAAAAAAAAAATAGAAAAATATTAAGGCAACTAGTTGAGTCAGTCAACTGCCAATTCATTCCACCCAATTCAAATTTTTGAAAATATTGTAGTGTAGTTGTCATTTTCATTGAAAATACATGTAATTATGGTGTTTTACATTTTTTT